ATGCATGTCCCATCTGGCAACAGGACGTGGGGGCGGAGAAAGGGAAGTACAGTACTATGCATGTATGTACAACGTCACCTGTAACATGGTCCGTCCCATCTGGCAACGGGACATGGGGCGGAGAAAGGGAAGTACAGTACTATGCATGTATGTACAACGTCACCTGTAACATGCTCCGTCCCATCTGGCAACAGGACGTGGGGGCTGAGAAGGGCAAGTACTGTGCAGTCAACTTCCCACTGAGAGATGGCGTTGACGACGAGAGCTACGAGATGATCTTCAAACCTGTCATGGCCAAGGTCTGCTCTCTCCTCCTTCTGCACTCTCACTCAGCCTGTCCCTCTCTCTCCCTCTTCTTCTTCTTTGCCTGCCAGTACTGCTATTTGCTATGCAATGCCGGAAGTACAAGCTACGTATGTATAGTACAGGATAATGGGCATCTATGAATGGAGATTGACACTCTTTCGTTCTCATGCTAGCTAGTAGCATAGAGTAGAGGTGCTGCAATGAGGATGTGACATGTGTGACATGTGTGTGTGTGTGTGTGTGTGTCCAGGTGATGGAGGTGTACCGACCCAGTGCAGTGGTGTTGCAGTGTGGAGCTGACTCACTGGCTGGAGACCGCCTCGGATGTTTCAACCTCTCTCTTAAAGGTTGCTCTACAGTACACTGCATGTGTCAACTACGAGAGGCAAAGGCACAACAAACACGTCAACTACACCCAGGATTGTGGAACAGCAATGTGCAAAAGACTTTTCTCCGAAACTCTACTGAATCACAGAATCACATACATACACACATACATACATATATGTCTCTCCCTCTACTGAATTACATACATAATTATGTCTTTCTCTATTTCACAGTAATCTGTCTCCCCCCTCTCCACAGGTCATGCTGAGTGTGTGGACTTCATCCGTCGCTACAACCTCCCTCTCCTGCTCCTCGGAGGAGGCGGCTACACCATCAGTAACGTGGCCCGCTGCTGGATCTACGAGACTGCCGTCGCTCTCAACTGTGACATCGCCAATGGTACTCTCCATTCAGTACACGTCTAAAAAGCCATGTGGAGTGTACGACTCCACTTTTACACCCTACTACAGTCCTTGCAGCAGTGGGCATTAAATAGAATACCCACACCTGCTGGGAATGTAACCATGCATCTCATGCGTCGCTGCATAGCACTTTGACCGTTAGCTATGCAACCACTGTCAGTAGGTACTGTATGTACCACAGCCTATGAGATTATCATCCACTTTTCCTGACAAAAGTGTTAGGTTTATACGCTTTACTTTTCATATCTCCCCCTCCCTCCCAGCTCTCAGTACTGAAGGAGCAATAGAGAAACAAAAGAGCTTTCCGCCTCAGAGGTCCCACTGCCGCTGTCTCTCAATGCAGGCGACATTGGTAATTACTACTACGGACAGGGGCACCCCATGAAACCTCATCGGATACGCATGACCCACAACCTCCTCCTCAACTACGGCCTCTACAGAAAGATGGAGATCTACGTGAGTCTCGGGCACCAACTCTGTGGGATTACTGAGATGTTCACGTCTCCAGAAATTCCTATAGCGTCCATATAATTGGACATGCAAGCTTGGAGAAAGAGAACTCAGCACAAAGTTTACACTCTATAATACATAGGCACATGGATACAGAGGACAACAACTACAGAAGAATATGCTAACGTTTGACGCTGTCCTGGGTGTAGTTGACTTGTTTGCCTTGCCTTGCCTTTCTACCTCGCTACCAAGTTAATGTAATGGGAACTAGTTCATTTTCTCCTTCCAACTGTGTGCAAGGCTTAGGGTTTTCCATACTTATGCTGTTTATACATAAAACTGCAATACATACGACATTCCGCTACCCCTGTTGGGACTGATGAGGGTCTGTCCTCCCCCTCCACAGAGACCACACCCAGCCGTCTACGAGGAGATGACTCGTTACCATAGCGACGACTACATCCGGTTCCTCCGCACCATTCGACCGGACAACATCAACGAACACACCAAGCAGATGCAGAGATGTGAGTGTCATTGTAAGAATAGAGCCGTCTTACCAAAGTTGCAGAGAAGGGAGAGAGATTGAAAAGCTCTATAATAATATTATATAATATTATGGGGAGGAAAGTGCAGAGCAAAAATATGTGTAAACATCAGAGCTACAGCTCCAGAGATTTAGTGCTGGAGGATAATCACAAAAAATCTACTAGATGGTCCCAATAACAGCACACCTGCTTATTTGGGGGTCAAAGTGTCCCCTGGGAAGCATATTATTTCAGGGGGACAAATGAAGAGATAGAGGGACTAATGTCCCCATCCGTGTGTGCTCTGGTGCCACTAGCCCTGGATTATACAAACATGTGTTTTGCAATAGTGTGTGTATTGTGCTGTTGTGGTCAGTCAATGTAGGAGAGGATTGCCCTGTGTTTGACGGGATGTACGAGTTCTGCCAGCTGTCCAGTGGCGGCTCCATCGGTAACCACCTCCATCCCTCCTCTCTCCCTCTCTTCCTTGTTATTTCTTCTTTCTCTTTCCACGCCCCCTCCCTCCTGTCTTCTCTCTTCTTTTCCCACTTTCCACCTCCTCTCTCTGTTTCCATAAATCTCTTCCTCTTTCTACTCCCCCTGCTTTCTCTCTACTTTCCTCTTTTCTCTTCTCTTTCAAGCTCTTCACCCGCCTCTCCTTTATCTTCGGTTTTGTCTTTTATCTTCACCCCTTTATTGCTCATCTACTATACATATACTCTCATGTTCAGTTTACCATTCCTCTTTGATCTCTCTTTCTTGCTTTTTCTTTCTGTTTGTACCTTTTCACCTCCCTCCATTCTCCCCCTCCTCCTCCTCCTCCTCCTCCTCCTCCCCTCCTCCTCCTCCTCCTCCCTCCTCCTCCCTCCTCCGACCAGCTGGAGCAGTGAAAGCTGAACAAACAGGAGACTGACATTGCAGTCAACTGGTCTGGAGGATTACATCATGCCAAAAAGAGCGAAGCCTCTGGTTTCTGCTACGTCAACGACATTGTCCTCGCCATTCTGGAACTCCTGAAGTGAGCATAATGGGCATAGCTATGTAGCTCTCTATATGCTACGTTTTACCTGTGCCATCGCCTAATACCAGCCTTAACCCTTAGCAAGCCACAGACATATAAATAATATGTTGAAAGCCTGCGTGAGTATAGTAATTAACCCTTAGCAAGCCACTGGGCATTATATGCCAGCGCCTAATACCAGCCTTAACCCTTAGCCCATGAACACATATATGTTCTTGAAAGCCTCCATATACCCATAAGAATTTATATGGGGCTATAATACTAGTCGTTAATATGTTATACATCAGTTTCTGAAGGAGATACCCATGGCGTCCAAAGGGTTTTAATGTAATGGCTCTATAGGCCAGTGGGTGAGGTTCAGAGACATTGACGTTCCTTCCATAACCATTGCATAATGTAATCCATCTCAATGAATATGTATTTATGCTTATTTAAGGAGATACCCATGGCGTCCAAAGGGTTTTGATGGTATACATATTTCCTAGCGTTGTTTTTGATATTGATGCACGTGTGCTGGCATCTCTCTCCGTGCAGGTACCACCAGCGAGTGCTGTACATTGACATAGACATTCACCATGGCGACGGAGTGGAAGAGGCGTTCTACACCACTGACAGGGTCATGACTGTCTCCTTCCACAAGTACGGAGAATACTTCCCCGGCACTGGGGACCTCAAGGTACTCTTTATACCAAGGTTTTGCACTATAGTATATACATACATACACTTTTCATTAGAACAGTGTTTTACTGTAAAGATTGTGGCAATGTAGTTCTAAGGGATAAATGTTACTCAAAAAACCAAATCACATTCTTGCATTGGACTTTTTTAGTCCGATGTTTAGTAAATTTAACCCTTATGTATGTACTGACAAATTTGTCTTATGATGGGCCATGGCCTTCCAGTAAGCATGTAATGTATCCGTCACCTATTGGTCTGTCCCATCTGGCAACGGGACATGGGGGCGGAGAAAGGGAAGTACAGTACTATGCATGTATGTACACGGCACCTGTAACATGGTCCGTCCCATCTGGCAACAGGACGTGGGGGCGGAGAAAGGGAAGTACAGTACTATGCATGTATGTACAACGTCACCTGTAACATGGTCCGTCCCATCTGGCAACAGGACGTGGGGCGGAGAAAGGGAAGACAGTACAGCAGTATGTACAACGTCACCTGTAAAATGGTCCGTCCCATCTGGCAACGGACATGGGGGCAGATAAAGGGAAGTACAATACTATGCATGTATGTACAACGTCACCTGTAACATGGTCCGTCCCATCTGGCAACAGGACATGGGGCGGAGAAGGGAAAGTATGTACAACGTCACCTGTAACATGGTCTGTCCCATCTGGCAACGGGACATGGGGCGGAGAAGGGAAAGTATGTACAACGTCACCTGTAACATGGTCCGTCCCATCTGGCAACAGGACGTGGGGGCGGAGAAAGGCAAGTACTATGCAGTCAACTTCCCACTGAGAGATGGCGTTGACGACGAGAGCTACGAGATGATCTTCAAACCTGTCATGGCCAAGGTCTGCTCTCTCCTCCTTCTGCACTCTCACTCAGCCTGTCCCTCTCTCCCTCTTCTTCTTCTTTGCCTGCCAGTACTGCTATTTGCTATGCAATGCCGGAAGTACAAGCTACGTATGTATAGTACAGGATAATGGGCATCTATGAATGGAGATTGACACTCTTTCGTTCTCATGCTAGCTAGTAGCATAGAGTAGAGGTGCTGCAATGAGGATGTGACATGTGTGACATGTGTGTGTGTCCAGGTGATGGAGGTGTACCGACCCAGTGCAGTGGTGTTGCAGTGTGGAGCTGACTCACTGGCTGGAGACCGCCTCGGATGTTTCAACCTCTCTCTTAAAGGTTGCTCTACAGTACACTGCATGTGTCAACTACGAGAGGCAAAGGCACAACAAACACGTCAACTACACCCAGGATTGAGGAACAGCAATGTGCAAAAGGCTTTTCTCCGAAACTCTACTGAATCACAGAATCACATACATACACACATACATATGTCTCTCCCTCTACTGAATTACATACATATGTCTTTCTCTATTTCACAGTAATCTGTCTCCCCCCTCTCTCCACAGGTCATGCTGAGTGTGTGGACTTCATCCGTCGCTACAACCTCCCTCTCCTGCTCCTCGGAGGAGGCGGCTACACCATCAGGAACGTGGCCCGCTGCTGGACCTACGAGACTGCCGTCGCTCTCAACTGTGACATCGCCAATGGTACTCTCCATTCAGTACACGTCTAAAAAGCAGTACCTACCCTCTGCGCTTTGTACACATGCTCTATGCTAATGTTTTGGCTGCAGGGTTTATTACAACTGCTTTGTTTTTTTAACCCTTAGCAAACCACGGACGTATGTGTATAAGTCCCTTAGCCTCCATAAGTCAATGAGAATTTATATATGGCTATAATACTAGGCGTTAATAGTTATACATCAATTTCTGCTAAAGAGATACCCGTGGCATCCAAAGGGTTTTAATGGTGGTGTCCATCACATTGTGATCACACATTTTCCTACTACATGTGTGTATGTACATACTGTATGTGTCTCTCTCCCCACTCTTATTATATTCCCTCTCCCCCTCTCTTTATCTCTTTATCTCCTTCTTGTCTTCTATCTCTCCTTCCCCTCTCCCCTCCTGCACCCAGAACTTCCCTACAATGACTACTTCGAGTACTATGGACCGGACTTCAAACTCCACATCAGTCCCACCAACATGACCAATCAGAACACACCTGAATACCTCAACAAGATCAAGTACGTAATATGTCTGTGGACTGAAGATAGCGCTAAACAATATACAAACAAAAGGGCCCAGTGAAACAATTTCCATTTTTAGTAACAGTATGCCCTTAACTGCCACATTCTCTAACTAACCATGTTTTTTTAACTAACCAACTACTTATGTTTTTTTAACTAAGCAATGTTTTTTTACTTATGTTTTTCAACAACTTTTTTTTTTTTTAACTAACTTATGTTTGTTTTTTTGTACTACTTATGTTTTTTTTTATTTTTTTAACTCACCAACTACTTGTTTGTTTTTTTGTTTTTTAACTAACCAACTACTTACGTTTGTTTTTTGTTTTTTAACTAACCTTTTTGTGTTTTAACCAACGTGTACAACGTAACTAACCAACTGCATACAATGTACGTGTTCTCAGAGTTACATATTCTATGACGTCTCTCTCTAGAGCTCGACTGTTTGAGAACCTGAGACTCATTCCTCATGCTCCCAGTGTCCCCATGCAATGTACGTATGACATTACATCATTCTTACATCATCTGTTTCGTATTTCCAACATCTATCTTATTCATCATGCTCCCAGTGTCCCCATGCAATGTACGTATGGCATTACATCATTCTTACATCATCTCTTACTATCCATCTTATTCCTCATGCTCCCAGTGTCCCCATGCAATGTTGTATGTTACTGATGTGTACATGTATGTGGTAAAACAGTTCACTATTTCACTACTGTACATGTTAGACTGTGTACTGTACATCTACAGCCATCCCAGAGGACATGATCCAGGACCCAGAACCAACTGAGGATGATCCCGACGAGAGGATTCCACGTGAGAACCAATCTCTCTTAGTATGTCTCTACAACTTTGTAACGAGGTAGAAAGGCAAAGCAAGGCAAGGCAAGTCAACTACACCCAGGACACCCAGGACACTTAGCATATGTACACATTATACATGTCCTCATGCTACATGATGCGACCATTTACTGTGCCTCGTGAACTATATGCGACACATTTTGGCAACAAATACCCCTCCAGAGCATGTCCAGGACAAGATGATAGCCAGAGAAGAGGATCTCTCTGACAGCGAGGACGAGGGAGACGGCCGACGCAACGAGAGTGTCGGTCACCACGACAACAAACGATTGCGTCTGGCCGACGAGGGGGGAGAGACAATAAGGCCCCTGCCGTTAGCAAAATAACAACAGGTCAGAGTTTTAGCAAGGAAACTGTGGGCTCTTTGGATCATCCTCAGTTGGTTCTAGTCCTCCACTTCATGCATTCTTACTCTACAGCCCATTGTTTTGTTCCTTCTGTTTTATTGTGTTCGACCACAGCACTGACGCTACCAGTAGATTTAATGTTTCATTATAATATACAAGTAAATTAAAAATCCTGTGAATTTAGCATAATTATACAGCCCCATACATCTACCATTTCTTCCCTGCTATAACTGTCACTGCAGGTGGAGGGAGCATCCAGAGTCCCGTACCCCCGGAGCCATCTCCCATCACCCCCAGTCCTCTGGTCACACCACACAGCCAGGAGAGCAAGGCTGAGACTGCCCAGGAGAAGACTGGTGAGACTCAGTCGTATGTGTATGTCTCAACAACTTGGTAACGAGGTAGAAAGGAGAGGAAAGGCAAACAAGTCAACTACAACTAGTATGTACATACATCACTGCACCCGTCCATACCAATCCTTACTCACCTCAATTTTAGTGCCGCTTTACCAACCCCCACCACTCATTAAGAGTGTCAATTATTAACATTTTGTAGGCACATGAATTGAAGTAGAGACAAACCAACTACACTTAGTGCTCTTACTATAGTTGGACTATATAATAGTTAGACAGTGAGTCCGTGAAATCTACGCGATTTAGAAGGCCGAGGGCCCGAGGCCCCTTCTAAATCGCGTAGATTTCATTGGACGAGCCTGCCTAACTTATTTAGAGCGGGCGCAGGCTCTGCGCGCCCTTAGCAACCAAAACGCGATGTTTTGCGAAGACATCATGGAGTGGTTGGAAGACTCGCAAGAAGACAGCCACAACGACGTATACTGCTAGAGGCAAGTGACAGCTACGAAACTGACGCTACGGCTCAGCCACCACCGCCGTGTAACGACGAACATGCGCATGTGCACGGGACCAGCTACGCCGCCTCTCCTCCTTTCCCTGTAATACTATGTTGAACTCAGCGCGTGGTTTTCTAATTAACGCGCACCTACTATATGCGCGCGCACAAAAAACGCCCCGGGCACTTAGAATACACGAAAACGTGAAATCTACTAGATTTAGAAGACACGAAATTCAGCGTGAGTGAGCTCTAAATATAGGTTATACTGCGCGTCAATGGAAATACGCGATTTAGACGGCACGAGGGGCCCTGAGCTGTAGCTGTCTGAGCGCAGCGAAGACGCTACTAAGGGCTCCGAGGCCGTCTAAATCGTGTATTTCCATTGACAAGCAGTATAACCTGTTTAGACGGAGGCCGTGCCGGCCTTCAAAATCGTCCAGGTCCGCCGTCTTCCGAAAGACTCGCTCTTGCCGGGGGAAGCTAAAAAGGTCTTCAGTTTAGTTTCTTTTTGCATCTTAGAGAGGCCTTTCATCGAAGAAGCATCGGATATAGCGAGTTTGAAGTCGTCGCGGCGAGCTCTCAGCGACAGAGCGAGTTTCTTTGCCTAGAAGCTTGCCACACCCCCATCGAAGACGCCATTTTTTGGCGGGCGTCTCCATGGAAACACGCACTTGGAAAGTACGGGATTTAGAATCCACGTTTTACGCAATCTGATTGGTCAATTTGAATCTGCCGACGTCTAAGGAATAGTATACTCTATCTCGCTGCACCCATATATCCCTATCTCACTTAACAATCCTTGCTCGCCTTAATTTTGGTGTTGCTTTAGTGCATCTTTTGTAGGAACAGGAAAAGAAGTAGAGACTAACTAACTACCCTTTAGGCTATTATAGTTGGACTATGGAATAGTGTATATAGTCTAAAGTGTAATTTAAACCTCTTAGAAAAGGGCAACTTCTTTATGGCAAAAGTGGAGGTGTCATTATATTTTTAGCAGCTACTCTACTGTATGTGTATATAGTTTTCTCATCTCTCCTCTGTTCCTGCAGCCAAGTCAGCCAGCCCGGGACCAGAGGCTGCAGACTCCAGTGAGGCCAAACCTGAGAAAGAAGGTCCTGCCACGATGGGAGAGACGGTGGAAGAGGGAGACGAGGGGGAGATGACAGGGGTGGGGGAGGAGGAGGGGGGAGGAGGGAAGGGGAAGGAAGAGAGGGAGGGGGGAGAGGGAGAGAGGGCCAAACCAATGGAGGAAACTGGGGAGCAGGCTCAGACAAGGTACAACAGTCCCACAAATCATGAAAATGTGCTTTATCTTAGTGCGAATGTAAGACATTTTCCTGTTTACAGTGCAATAGCACAATGATCAATGTTAGCGCTAGGAAACATTCTGTGTAGATGGCATGTGAGAACTAAACCTCTGGCCTTCTCAAGAAAAAGTTGATGTACACTTTTCATCTTGGATCCGGAATAGCTGTAGATGATATTTTCTGTGTTGTATTCCAGTCCCCAGCCAGAAGGTGACTCAGCCCAGCAACAAGCCACACCCACCTCGTCAGAGGAGCCAATGGAACACTGACACTGTGTCTCGTGCTGTGTGTTTTCAGACTCTCTCACTTCACATAGTGTCTGACTGTGTACAGCCTTATTCTGTCTTACACCTACATACAAATCTGACTTTGATGTAATAATCTTTTGACAACACTTACATACTGATTCATGGTAGCTAATTGCATGCTGGTTTGTTGAAGTTGCCTATCCTTTCTGTGTATTATTTCCTGAGACGTGCGCTCCTATGGACCCTCGGCACGCATGCGCAGCGGCGCAGCGAGGGTTAGTTCGTGAGCGATTTTCGTATAACTTACAGCTATAATAATTATACTGCGTTCAGAAGTTATGGTATGAAATGCAAGTGAACAAGCCAATACGCTAATTTGCACAGGTTTACCTCGACTGTACACTGTGGCCATGATAGATACTTCACATGGTGGCTATTCGCTTCTGACTTTTTATGCAAAAATGAATCTACAACACTAGTGATAAAAATGATGAACTAAAAGTTGTCAAAAGTCTTTGCACAACCTCTGATCCATCAATGGGACTCGTATGCTGTCGGCATATAATCTGGTGTCGTGCCCAGCCCCCGCTCTCTCTCTCGAGGAAATTAAAGGGTCTGGTGACTATTGAGCGTTTTCTTGGTTGTGCTGACTCATCATTGCCGAGTGCATGCGCAGAAAAGCCCGTTTTCGTTCGTGGACACGCGGAGTCCACGGAGGTCCACGAAGGTCCATGGAGCTGCATCATGTGATATTTCACGCTCGTGGCAAATACTGCAGTCTGATTCGGTGTCTCAAAAGTAAGACTGTCGAGTCAGCACAACCAAATAGTCACCAGACCCTTTTCCTCGAGAGAGAGAGAGAGAGAGAGAGAGGCCAGGGCGGGGGCTGGGCACGAGACTACATATAATCTGGTGTCGGTTTCTGCGAGTTTCCAATTAGCGCACATCACTCCGAGCAAGCCCCTCCTCCTCCACACCCCACACACGTCTAATCGAGATGTCGGTGGCTGCGGACGTCTCTGACTGGATCGCCACTCCTGCTCCATTCAATGGAAATAAGTGTGGAAAGAGAGCAGTGTTTTCAAGTGATAACTCCATCGTCCAGCGGCGAGGTCCTGAGCAGTACTGGGTTGATTGTGTCTGTTACACAGTCCATCCCCTGCCTCCAGGGCAGGTGTGGCAGACCACCGTCCTCGAGACTACCACTAAGCGGAATTTTGGACTGGTTAGTGGATGTGTACCAAGTCTCCTATATACAAAGACCAGCTCCACTATGACGGCTACAGTTTGTAACATATTGTGTTGTGTATGCAGGATCCTCATCTAATATGAGTGATCATGTCTTTTGAGCACATGTTCAATTTTTTGTTGTAAGTATTAATGCGTGAAGTGCCTGACTTAACGAATGCATTTTCAGTAAAGATAGGGATGGGATACAACATGAAGCATGGTTAAGGAACAGATTTGAGCACGCTGACACCCCCAACCCCATCGCACAATCCCTATATTGTTGCCTGGTGTGCTACTCTTATAGGGGCTAAAGGTTACTAAAAGCAAGCATTCTTTCACCGGCTCCATGTTGTTTTTAATAACATTTATACTGCCACATTCCCTTTCAACTTCACTTGGACTCTATAAGGGTGTTGGTTACTCAGTAGTGTATTGTAAGTTCTGAGTATTGTAATGGTGAATGTTTAATACTTCACCTAGGCAACAAGGGATTGTGTGATGGGGTTGGGGGTGTCAGCGTACTCAAATCTGTTCATTAAACATGCTTCATGTATCCCATCCCTATCTTGTCTCCCTTTCTTTTTATACAATCCCTATATGCCTCTTTTAAATTCGCAGGATTTTTAATTTACTTGTCTCCACTCATTTTTATATACTACTACGTATTATCTCTGTGGAAGGGAGTAAGCCCCTATAAAAATTAAAATAGAGAATAAAGGCCTGTTGTCGTTATGGAAATGATATGCATACCATGTTTCATCTCCAAGTGCGCTGCCGTTAGCAAGTTTGAGGAGTGAAGAAGTAAATTTAAAGAAAAGTACCTGAAGCTATTTGTTGTCGTGGTCGTCATGGAAACGATGTTACACGCAATGCGTTCCAAGTTTCACCTCCATGCGTGGTACCATTAGCGAGTTTGAGGAGTGAAGAAGTAATTTTAAAGAAAAGTGCCTGAGGCTATTTGTTGTTGTGGTCGTCATGGAAACGATGTAATACACATGCGCAGCAAGTTTCACCTCCATGCGTGCTACAATTAGCGAGTTTGAGGAGTGAAGAAGTAATTTTAAAGAAAAGTGCCTGAGGCTATTTGTTGTTGTGGTCGTCATGGAAACGATGTAATACACATGCGCAGCAAGTTTCACCCCCATGCGTGCTACAGTTAGCAAGTTTGAGGAGTGAAGAAGTAATTTTAAAGAAAAGTGCCTGAGGCTATTTGTTGTTGTCGTCGTCAAGGAAACGATGCAATACACATGCGCACCAAGTTTCAGTTCCATGCGTGCTACAATTAGCAAGTTTGAGCAGTGAAGAAGTGGTTTTTAAGAAAATTGCCTAAGGCTTTTTCAAACAATATGGGGTCGTCATGGAAACATGTAATGGTCATGGAAATGATATAATAGGCATACTTACCAAGTTTCATCTCTATGTGTGCTACCATTGGAGAGTTTGAGGAGTGAAGAAGTGAATTTAAAGAAAAGTGCCTGAGGCTATTTGTTGTGTTTACGAACATGTGTCGTGGTGATTTTAATGTGGTGATTGAATACATTACGTCTACAAAGTTTCGTTCACATAGCTCCTATCATTTGTGAGTTATAGTGACACATGTGATCCCTTTATAATGTATGGCCTGGGGCTATTTGTTGTTGTTTACAGTAAACAATGTTGTTTACAAAGAAATAAGTATGACCAGTCTCTTCGGGTGACGGATATATACATTCTACAAGATTTCATTACTTTATGTTGTTTCGTTTTTGAGTTACGCGAGTTGAATCTGAAGAAGAAGAAG